GAAGTGTGGAGGAGCATTCTGTGGAACAACGGGTTGGGGAATCCGTCACACCCCAAGAGGGGAATGATGGAGAAGGATTCGGCGGATGAGGGGAAGTGGGAGGATTGAAGAGGGAGGATGAGGAACAGCAGGAAGAGGAGGAGGAATGCGATCAGAAAGGCCATAAGCCTCTTGGGTGCCTCTCGGAGTCCCTTCGGATATCTCTTGACCGCTTCTTGGGGGCCTCTTGGTGCGTCTTGGGGGCCTCTTGGCGGTCGGGGGGGGGGGGCTCGTGGAGGGTCTTGGGTGCCCCGGGGGAGCGTCTTCGGGCCTCTTGGGTGTCTCATAGGTCATAGGGGCCTCTTGAGGACCACTTCGGGACCTCTCGCGGCCTGCTGGGTGCCTCTTTGGGACCCTCTAGGTGCGCACTCGGGAGCTTCGTAGGCAATCTTGGAGCCATCTTGGAGGTGTCCTCACTTAGCGCTGCCACCCATCAGGAGGCCAAGCTGTGGCCACCGCCTTCGTGAACTCAATGGTTTGGCCTTCCTTACCGAAGCCATCTTGGACGCTCCAACCCTTCGCGCCCCCCCCCCTCCAGAGCCAGGGGGTAGTGGGTAGGGGGGTGGGTCAAGGCACCCTCCACGCCCGCCCTCCCAACACAGAAGTAGTACCCGAGCCGCAGCATGTTCAGCGCGTTCTTTGGATTCCAATCTAATGGGAACCAGACCAGACCCCATGTGCGCAACGCTGGGGCGAGGTGCGTCACGCGTGCAAGGCGCGCCACGCGCGCCAGGTGCGCCAGGCACCCCTGTGGCCCAAGCGTGCCAGGCACGCCTGGTGCGCCAGTGCGCCACGTGATCCACGCGCGCCATGTGTGCCGCATGCTCCAGCCGCGCCATGTACGCCACGCTCGGGGGCAGACGCAGAGTGTGTCAGGCGCGCCTGCGCACGTGGCAGTGCACATCGGGAAGTAGTTGGCCCCCGCCACTCTTGTCGAGAACCAGTGCGCAATCGCGGCGGCTTGGAAGCGTCCGGTGGGCCTGCAGCCAGCAGGCAGTATGCCAGCCCCCCCCCGTCCGTGCCAAAAGCCAGTTCACAGTGATCGCGGGGTGGCCGCGCATGATCCAGATTTTGCCTCTGAGTGCATTTTTGTGCTGCTTTTTGACGGATGCTGGCCCTGCGGGCACCAGGCAATATGCGGGCACCCACGCCGTCCTTGTCAAGCAAAGACTGCAAAGTGCTCGCGCCCTCCCGATCATGATCCAATCTTCTGCCCCAAAGTGGACTTCCCATTATTTCTTGACAGGAATGGTTGAGGTCCTGGTTGGCTGCTGGTCATCTGGGGGGAGGGGGTGTTTTTCAATACCGAGCAGTGGCGATGGTAGTGGGGGGAAGAGGGCACGCTCTAAGCCACTCACACCTTAATGTGCGGGGGGGGGTTGTATGGGTATTGAGGCCCTGTGATGCGTTGGGTGATGATAATGCTGCTGCTGATGCTGATGCTGCTGCTGATGAGGATGATGATGAGGCTCATGCTGATGGTGATGATGATGCTGCTGTTGCCAATGATCATGATGATGACGATTGTGATGATGATGCTGCTGCTGATGATGATGATCATGATCATGATGATGAAGACGATGACGATGACGATGACGACCATGCTGATGATGATGCTGCTTATTGATGTTGGTGATGATGCTGCGGATGATGATGCAGTTGACGACGATGCTGATATTGATGATGATCATACTGAGGACGATGATGCTGATGATGACCATTATGATCGTGCAGCTGCTGATGATGATGATGATGATGATGATGATGATGATGATGATTGTGGTGATGCCGATGCTGATGATGATGATGATGATGATGCTGCTGATGATGATGATGATGATGATGTTGACGACGACAATGATCATATTGATGCCGATGCTGATGGTGATGCTGATGCTGCTGCTGATGATGATGCTAACGACGACGATGATCATGTCGAGGCTGATGATGCTGATGACGATGCTGCTGTCGACTATGATGATGCAGATTCCGATTATACTGTTGACGTTCACGATGCTGATGACGATTATGATGCTGATGATGGTGCTGCTGCTGATGATGATGGTGATGGTGGAGAT